TGTGTGTGTGTGTGTGTGTGTGTGTGTGTGTGTGTGTGTGTGTGTGTGAGTCAGGTTAATGAGTATTAATGCTTGTGTCACTCATTATTTAACCCGCTGGTACACATGGCAGTTGTCCTGAGGAAGAAGAGGAGGAGGAGCGAACTGCAGATACCGAGGAAGCCAGGCAAGCTGCAGAACTGAGAGTTCAGACGATTAACAAGTTCCAGGGTAAGACGATGACATTTAAACGCCCACATGTTTAATTTTCCATTTAATTAAACGCAAAGAATCATAAAACCTGCACAGCACTCATCTTAGATTTTGTTTGGTTTGCAGATGCACTGTTTGGTCAGGACCAGCAAATCTGCCACAGCTTGGAGGAAAAGTTACAAATTTATGCTGAACTGACAGAGTTAACCCTCCATCCACCAGAACCTGTGCCACAGCGCCCTCTGCTGGTGCAGCCCGCACAGTACATGGACAGCGAGCATCCACGCCAGGCGTCTTCACTGCTGACAGCTGCACTCAGAGAAGGTTAGACAGCTGCTGTGCCAGATACATGATACACAACCATAACAATAATTAAAAAAAAGATTTGTGTTAACCTAATATTTCAGGCAATGGCAAATACTTCTTTAATACATTGTTATGGCAAGCAGTCCCACTGAAATACTGATTATCTTGTTTATTATCACAGATTATCTTCTGATCCAGTCAGCTAAAATGAACTTTTGTGCCTCTACTGAGATATTTTCAATCTGACAGCAACAGATCCTACAAGCACATTCGAGTATGAACAGACAATGCAGAAATATTTTAACAAAATTTTTGCAAATGGCTGTTTTCTTATTTAACCAAAAAATAAAAACAATATATTCAGTTAGTGTATGCTCTAATATGTACGGAAAAAAGTTGTTTCTCTATTGCAGGTTTATGTTGTTGCAGAAACATCCAGGTTTTTACAAATATTTGCCTTTTTTGCAGCAGAGAACCTGATCGGTATTCTTCAGGCTCGTGATGGCCTTCCTGTCCAACGTCAGAACTCCCCTGTCCAAGCGCTTGAGTGCTGCAGCTACAACAGCCACGGCAGCAGCATCCAGGAGTCTCCTTCTGAACGTGAGTCACGGGTTCCTCTTTTTTCTTTTTTTAGTCCAACATTTGATCTTTTTAGGTGTTGCAGCATTTCACATGCACAACTCTCCTTTCCCTGCCCGTACAGCGGATTATCTGAGCACGCTCAGTATGAGCTCCGCCTCTCTCGGATCAGACAATGAGTTAACCGGGTTGGACAGCGTGTCGTGGAGCTCAGCTGTCGAGCTCCGAAAAAGAGACTCCAAAGGGATGCTGTTAAAGGTTCAACTCTTTTTCATTTCACATGAGCAACTTTTGTTTCTGAATAAATAGACTTTATAATTCTATAATAACACATAGTTGTTGTTTTTAGGTGGCAGAAAGTGTCCAGAGTCTGACTCAGCTCCTTTATAGTCTGCAGGTGAGAACAAAACATGTCTGAGATAATAAATGCTGCATTACAAAACATTATTCATACACGTCCAATTACACAAATAATCTGTTCAAATTGATAACCCCACAATGACGTAGTAGATTTTTTTGTTTTTAGTGTGTTTAAAAAAAAACAATCGTTAACACATGCTCTTCAAAGTAAAACCTTCTTAATCTTTCAAAGTAAAGTGGTATTTTAAATTCTTTCCAGCCATATTAGTAATCTATCTCAATCTAACATGTATACAAGCACACACCTTGTTTATACAGGAATATACATTTGTTTTATGTACTCAACTTTATTCAGAATTAAAACATAATAATAATAATAAATTAATAAGTCGGTATTCTCTTTGTGTTTGCAGGCAGCTGTGACCCTTCAAGACAGCTACTATGAAGTCCACAAACTTCTTCTCCAAGAAGGAGAAAGACCTCAGCTCCGAAGCATCGCCTCCCTCCAAAACAGCCTGGTTTGTTAAAATATTTTTTTTATATTTCAAAAAGAATTGTCAGTAAATGAATGTTGTTGTTTTTTTTAGTAGCTGAATCTATAATGTTGGTTTCTTATCTTTTTTCATCAGGAATATTAGCATAAAAATATGCTTTGTTGTTTCCCAGGAGCTGGAGAAACAGAGGAGCACAGACAAGATGAAAGAGGAGAAGAGGGGGCTGGAGAGGAGGAAGGATGACGTGGACGAGGTGCAGAAACTCCAGATCAAGTTGAAACAGGAGCAGCAGCATTGGGAAAAAGAGTGTGCAACCAGAGAGAAACAGCAGGTGGGCCTCATGCATTTCAACACGGAACATTAGGTTTTCTGACATTTATCATCCGCTACTGAACAAGGCAAACAAAATGATGTTGCAGCTTTTACAGCTTGAGAGCAGTCCGTCTTGTGTTTCGCCCATAGGAGCACCTTCTAAACCTTTCATGCTTACAGGGTGAGCAGGAGAGTTTACTGGAGCAGAGACAGCAGCAGTGTCTCCTGGAGGCGGAGCGGCTGCGCTGTGAGCGCGAGGAGCTGGAAGCCCAGCTGCAGGAGTATCAGCAGAATCTGGACAGACTGAAGGAGGGCCAGAGGAGTGTGGAGAAGGAGAAGGAGAAGATCGAAGCCCAACAGAGGCTGCTTCAGGGCTGGAGACACAACCGCCAGAGCAGCCTGCCGGTCACGTTACCCCTGGATGGATACAAGGTAAATGTAAAAGTGCAGGAAGGATTTTCTTATTCATCAGAGAATCCAGGAGAAAAGAAGCAGTGACCTCTGCCGAACAAGCCTCATCATTTGTGTTTCTGTGCTGCTCTCTTGTCTCAGGTGTGCACTCACAGCCGCACAGGCAGCCTGGACGCCAACTGTTCGGTGTTCAAGAACGAGGCAGCTTTGCTTGCCTCCCTGCAGCAGAACCACCTCCTCCAGCCAACGAACTACAACAACCAGCAACAGCACGTTCTGGGCATGCAGAAGAAGAACCACGACTGCCCGCCGAGCAGCACCAACCACAGCGCCACCCCCAGCCTCAGTGCCAGCCTCTACAACAGCCTCAACACGCTGCTGAGCCAGACACACAGCAGACAGCCTCCGTACGCTAACAAGCACAGCTGTTCACGTCTCCCAGCCGACTCCCTCCACCCGTTCAGCAGCAGGGTCACCTCACAGACACAGAGGAGCAACAGCAGTAAGACACAAATGTAGAAATAAACCCAAAGGACTTCTCCTTTCTTTGTCCAGTCCTCCAAAATACAGTGTTTGTCTTGTTTATCTTTTTTCCAGGAGACCTCGGTCTGCTAGACAACACACAATCGTCCAGTTCCTGGAGGTCAGAGTTCACTGGTCATGGTCTTAATAAGGAGCACAACTCGTCCTCGCCCTCTCTTACCCCCCTCCTCCCACCACAGGCTTACCTCTCACTTGACGGACAAAATGGAGACGAGGAGGGAGAAGAGAATATTGTTTACCTTTGAGACTCATGAAATGAGCAAAGCAAGCTGCTTCAACGAGACCTGAACAAACATTTTCTGTTGCTTGTACGTGTCTGTGTGCATTTGTTTCTATTTACATATATGAAGCTAAAGGGATGGGTCAGAGCACTTGAAGTGGGATTCTGTGAATGGGTTATGAAGAATGAGTATCTTACCTGTTGTAGATTGCTCTTGAACAACCTCAGTTTGGAGAAACTGATTCTTACTGGATTTCTGGGCTAAAAACTAATCCAAGTTTCTTCAGATCAATTAAATTCAAAACTACTTTATTAATACCAAAGGGAAATTAAATGTTGTTGTAACTCGTTAACCTCGTATCATTAAGAGATGTTGTAGATACTGATGGCTGTAGGCAGGAAAGATCTCTTGTAAAAGTCCATCCCAAAGCGGATCTGAAGAAACTGGCCGCAGATTCCGTCCGATCCTTCCACCCAGACTTGGCTGGCCTCTCGGTTCCCCCGGGCTGCAGGATCGCCTGAATGCTGGGCAGAACTCCGAGAGCGATGGTCACTCCTCCCAGCAGCCTGCCGAGCTCCTCTTCGCTGCGGACAGCCAGCTGCAGGTGCCAGGAGACGATCCCGGCCCGTCTGTTGTCACGAGCCATGTTTTCTGCCAGCTCCAGGATCTCGGTGGTCAGACACTCGAGCATAGCTGGCAGGTAGATGGGAATGCATCCACGGTGCCTCCTTTTCAACTCATTTGAGATTTGAGTCTGTAGCTGAGATCTTATTTGACACAGCCTAACACAACCTCTGAGAAATATCACTAGGGTTCATCCATGCACTAAATTATAAACCATTATATTGGCATCAGTTTTGTATTACGTGGTGTTTCTTTTCGAAATAGTACAATATTTCTGCCAAATGTGCCTGAGAAGAGCTACAGCCAGCTGCTGCTGCTGACACTGAAGACTGATTGAAGATTGAAGTTGTTTTAAGACTAAAACAATCTACTATGGTTACGGCCCCACTCAGACTAGCTATTAGCTATTACCTACAACAGGTAAGATGTTAATTGTTCATAAGCTTTCCTCAGAAGTCCTTTTCAAAAGTTCTGGACAGCCGCTTTATGTTAGTAAAGTCAAGTTAAACAGGCAGCCCCACAGTATGTGCCTTTTTCTGTGATCCTAAATCAGTCTGCTCTCAGCGTGATGAAACCGTTGTGCCTTTTTTAATTTTTGCAAAAGAAGCTCTTAGTGAACCAGCTGTTATCCTCGTTCTCCCCGTGTTCTTACTGCTACTATGTTTATATTTGTTGCACTTGTGTGAAGGCAAAGGTACATTTGTGTTAAAACGCCAAAAACATCAGTAGATTAAGAGCCCATTATCCTTGTAATTTTTGCAAGAGCACGTAAAATTCAAACACGTTCAGTCAATCAAGCCCACCCCGTGTAAATGTACAGTTTGTTTTTATTTTCTCTTGTTCTTCAGTGGAGTTTGATGTATATTTAAAAGTGATTGTAAGCATCTGAAAAACATCCTGACATCATTGTATATATATTTAATATATGTTTATTTTTACGAGAAGGCTACCTATGCACACCGTGATCTAATCTTACAGTCCTGCTTTTTTTTTTTTTTTTAATCTAAAGTGCCAAAAACTTTGCTGATGCTGTAACTGATGTAAAAATGGGTTCATTGTTGACTGATGTCAGCAATGCTTCTTGCACTGCCAAGTTCAAAACCTTTTTTTTTTAAATAAGTCGCATCTTTTAATCTCTTAAATCGTGCTTGTAATGTGCCATAATAATATTGTGTGTATAAAACCTTTGTGACAAACATCCGGTACGTGTCCTTTGCCTTGTGTGAAAAGCTCCACATCGATATCTGATAGTTACACACCTCCCATGAGTTCCTGTGCCAACTTGCGCAATACTCTTACTTTTAGAGCTAGCCAAGTTTAACATTGAGCCATAACTGACAGTGGACATCACATTCTCATTTTTCAGCTACAATGATGAAAAGTGTCAAAGTGTTCAGCTTCCACCTGCTCAGGTTGTACCTCCTATTCTGTATGGAGCAAACTGAAGGCTGTTGTGATGGTAAGCTGGATTTTTTTTATGTTTTAAAGTTCCTTCCTGTCGTTTTTCACAGGCTGCATTTTCATTTTTGTGCCAGGTTTTCTACCACTAAAACCAACAATCAGTCACTTGGAGGCTGTTGGTGACGAGCAGAGCCTTGTGGTGAGCTGGGCGAGGAACCGTGGAGCCTCAGAAAACGACATTTATGAGATTCATATCGGCCGCACAGAAAATTACGATATCATTTACGCTGTAAGTAGTTTGGCTGTGTGTGAAAATCACTTTTAATTGAAGATGAAGTTATTGATTTTTATTGTATCCAATTTGAAACAAACATTTTGACCTACATCTTCATCTTTATGTGAAAACATCAAACTACACAATCAGGAGCGATCTACAAAAGCTGCGTCATGAAATGATAGTCTTTTTTTCTGTAAAATGTTTTTGCTTTAAATGTAAAAACAAAAACCGGTATGGGGTGCCGTGTGTAAAGTTGTTCAGTCAAAAATTAACAGCAATATTTTGGTATTTTGGCCTTTCATAAGAAAAAAAAAAATAAATAAATAAATAAATATATATATATATATATATATATATATTTTTATATTTAAAGTCATATTTTCACCATGTTATTCATACATTAATAAATGTCATAGTTCCAAACAAAATATTTAATTTACACCTAAATATTTAGTTTACTAACTAAATATATAAGTATTTAGCTTGTAAATTAAATATTCAGTTTGGAACTATGACATTTATAAATGTATGAATAACATGGTGAAAATATGACTTTGATTAAAAAAAACAAAACACTTTTTTTTCTTATTAAAGGCAAAATAAACCAAAAATATTGCTGTTAATTTTTGACAGTGTAACTTTACAAACCCCATAATCCGGAACACACAATCTGCTCATTTGAAATTGACCACAAACTTTAATTTAAAAAATAAAAAAGAAGCTAAATTTAGGCCAAGTTCACAACAAACATATATAGTTTTAAATATGTTGCTTTATATATCCAGATATTTAAAATTAATTTTGTTTTATTCTAATTAAATCTTGTATTGGTAGCAACACATAAGCCAGGTACATTCCAGTAAGAGACTGGTAAGTAACTCGTCAGTACAGGTACATCTGGTATGTAAACTGTAGGTTTTTACCTCTTAAGTAGCAGCTACCAGTTATGTACCAGTGCATATGACTTTGTAGATTTTTGCTATAAACACCATTATGCTCATATTGGAAAGTGGATTTTTTTTAAATCAGCGTGTTTGCATTTGTCCTCGTTAATATCAATAATTTGTGTGGTAATTTTTAGCGTAGTTAATAATCCTTATCAGACTTAATACTTGATGTGCCCCCTGTTTGCCGATGTAGAGAAATGTGAGTGTATCAGCCAGAGACTCCTCTGAGTACTCGTGGACGTGGATCTCTGAGGTGCCTCTTGAGTGTGTCGATCACTCTGTCAGGATACGGAGCTTCTGTAATCAAACTGGGCCGAGTCTTTGGAGCAACTGGAAAACCAACTACGGTGAGACAATCTCCTGATCCGTGACTGGTTTAAGATTAAATGCAACATAAGTGTGAATGTTTCTGCAGTTTCACTGATCAGGAAGTGACATCATTTAGTGATGTAGTTGCTGTTTTGTACGGGGTGGGGGGGGGGGGGGGTTGTTGCATGAGTACTTTTCATCTGTTGCTGAAAGTGCAAACATGTAATGTAGATCTCACACACTCTTAAAAGTTTCATATGATAATAGTGTGAATGTTTGTGAAGCATTCACACGATTGTGATCCATTTTTCTTCCGGACGTTTTACTGCATCTTCCTCGTTCCACAGTTTTTGTGCTATTTCAACAAATCATGTATCAACTTTCAGCTCGTTCAGAACGGTGCTATGACTTTTGGTATTGGTGCAACTTTAGCTTTTTGAAATATTTAGCATTTTCTGCCACTTTTTTCTCATAAAAAATGAATTGATCTCATTTTACATCCTTCAAATCTTTAGATCTGTTTACAGCCTTTTACTGTGCCTTTCACATTTTGTTCTGGTTCAGCTTCTTTCAGCTTCCATCTGCAGGTTTAAACTTATTTTTCAGCTAATTTCAGCTGCTTTTCCGTTGTTTTGTGCTCCTTTCAGCTTCTTTCTGCTAACTACAACATTTTTGTGCTTCTTCTAACTTCTTTCTGCTAATTTTCAGCTTGTTATGCTCTGTCAGAGCCAAAACTACATTTTGTATAAACTATATGTATAACGGAAGCTATTTGTTTTATGTGTAGATCTTTGTTGGTTTGAGGTTGGTAACATGTTTATTTAAGTCATGTGATGTGTTGGTGGGGCATGGCAGGAGAGAAAGTCCAGACAGACTAGATGGGGAGTAAAGCCAAACAATTTTTTGACCTCCCTAACTCTTTTTCTGTTTAATTACCAACTCATGGATAAGTTGTTTTTGCTTACTTTTTTGCTGTACATGTTTCATTTTTAAGTAAACCTTTAAACACAAGCCACAGCGAATAATTAAAAAAATGTTTGGACAAGAATTATGCTGGAGGCCATGGGAGCGTCAGGCTCAGACTTCACTCAATAAGGATTTACATGCTCATTTCAGCTTATTTTTGGAAGTTACAGATCTTGCCACTATTTCAGCTACTATTTAGCTGTTTTATGCTAATTTTATATTTTTCAGCTAATTCCACGTTTTTTGCGCTCATTTAAACTTTTTTTTTTAGTCTAATTCAGAAAAACTGGGTAGCTACTATTGAGCTTTGTGTGTCTGTGTGTGTGTGTGTGGGAGGGAGTGTGTGTGGGTGTGTGCGCAAATTTAAGGTTTTTTCCATAATTAATTTCTTTCTGCTAATTTCAACTTGTTTTGCTCCTTTCAGGTTTTTTTCTGCGAGTTTCAGCTTTTTCTCTTCTTTGAGAGTCAGAGTCAGAGTCAGAGTTTCTTTATTGTCATTCGCACCTCATGTGGTACATGTGGTGGAGCGAAATTATGTACACAGGGTCCCAGTTACATCCAACAATAAAATGTAAGAGAAAAACAGTAATAACATCTAAGATATGAACTAAGAAAAACATCAACTAAATATACACTAAGCACTCATAACATAAAACATTGAACATCAGCACAAACATGAACATGAGTCTGTGAGCAGATGTGCACGCATGAACACATCAACATTGAAACAGATCAGCAGCAACATGAAACAGATCAGCAGCAACATGATATGGTTTTTCACAGTGATTATTCTAGTTAGAGATTCATGAGTCTAACAGCCTCAGGGTAGAAGCTGTTCCTCAGTCTAGTGGTTCTACACTTAATGCTCCTTAACCTCCTTCCCGAGGGGAGTGGGGCAAAAAGCGTGTGCGCTGGGTGGGTGGGGTCCTTCATGATGCAGGTGGCCCTCTTCCTGCATCTGGAGGTGTAGATGTCTGTGACGGTGGGGAGACTGATTCCAACAGATTTCTGTGCAGCCTTCACCACTCTCTGCAAAGCTTTTCTCTCCGCAGCTGTGCAGCCTCCATGCCACACACTGATGCTGGAGCACAGGATGCTCTCCACTGCACACCTGTAGAAGGAGGTGAGGACTGAGCTTCCCAGACCAGCTCGCCTCAGCCGTCTGAGGAAGTAGAGTCTCTGATGAGCTTTCTTGATCAGGCTGGTGGTGTTGTTGCTCCAGCTGAGGTTGTCATTCATGTGTACACCCAAGTACTTGTAGCTGGAGACCACTTCAGCTACTATTTAGCTCTTCAGCTACTATTTATTCAGACCACTTTCAGCTACTATTTAGCTCTTTTCATGCTAATTTTAACTTTTTCAACCAATTACACATTTTTTTAGCTCATGTCAACTCTTTCCACTTCCGTTGAGCTTAATTTTTCCTTTTCAGCTATTGCTTTACTAATTTCAGCCTTTTTTTTTTTTAGCTCATTTCCTTTTCCTTGCGCCCATTTTTGCTTATTTAAACCTAATTTAGGCTTGTTCAGCTGTTTCAGCTACATTTCAAAATGTGTTTTACATAATTTCAGCTGTTTTTCAGCAAGTTCTTCAATAAGCATTCACACTGCATTTTCACAGGAAATGCAGTTTCTCTAGTTGTTTTATTTTTGGAAGCTTTTTCAGTGGCAACTCGTTAGATTATTGTAATTATTATTCAACTGCCATGTTTTTTTTTTTATCTTCTTTTAGGATTTACAATAAAGCACAAGATGGAAATATTTCCCTCCAAGCGATTCCTGAGGGAAGGAAGCACTGCCACGTTCTGTTGCGTTCCCCCAGCAGGAGTCAACATCACAAGCATCACTTTTCTGAACAATCATTATCCTCTTTTGAGCATTGGTGCCAGAGTTAAAGCTATTTCTGTCAACAATCTGACAATCCCAACTACACGCTTTAAAGTATTGTCACTCGCTTGCACTGAATCAACTGGCAAGCAGGTTTATACCTTAAACTATATCAGCTGTAAGTAAGATAAGATTACACATTTTATTTTTATGGAGAATTAAAGCATGTGAGTAACATCGTGGCCCCTGTAGTTCCTCCTCAGAAGCCCAGAAACCTCAGCTGTGTAACGCCAGACATGAAAACTGTCACCTGTAGCTGGGATTCGGGCCGGAAACGGGACCGGTTTGACCACAATAAACAAACACATACTCTCCACATAGAGTGAGCGCATGCAACACACATGATGCCAGGAATCCTGAAAGAATTATAGAGGAGTGCTAAGATGTATTTCTTTATATATATTTTTTGTACAAAATGATCCAGTTTAGTTTGTTTAGCTTTTACCAGGAACCAGTGCTTTAGGATGATTTATGATCTTTGAGTTCATCTTGGAGCCTTGCCTCCCCTCGCAGGATATTCATCTTTACAAGGACAAAGTTTATTCTCAGGATTAAAAAAAAAACACATTTGAAAGTCCTGCTTCAGAGCAACCAAGCAGCCAATATTTTGTCACAAACTGCGTCACAGAGAGCTGTGTTGTCTATATGGACTTTCAGGAACTCGGACCAGGCTCCCATCATTTGTGAGCCATCATCTTGTACTTTTCCAGTCGTGGCACAGCTGCAGGAATACAACATCCGAGTGGTGGTGAAGGACCAGCTCGGAGAGGAGACTGAGACCTACAGCTTCAACATCTCTGACAGAGGTCCATTGAACAGTCAAACCAGTTATAAAACTAACAATATAAAACCTAAAGCCGTTTAGTTTTAGGTTGAAGTGTTTTTTTATTTCCATTTTATCACAACAATGGGAAATCAGTGTTGTTGTGTTTGTGGTCACTGAACTACTTCTGTAATATGAGCTTTTATCCAACACCCTATGTGTGGGCTGCCTTTAGTGCTTCCTGTGATGGAGTGGGACAGAGTAAAGCCTGGGGTGAAGGACGTCTTCTTGTCCTGGAGTGTTCAGGGAAACCAGACAAACCTTTCTTGTCAGGTTGAAACCATTCCTGGCAGCGTCACGGAGGTATCATATCCTACTAAAAACTGGACATTTTAATGGACGTGTTTTTAATCGTTAAATCTCTGCACTAGCTGGTTTGCTACAGTGTGAGCGATCGCTGCGAAGTCAAACTGGAGCGCTTACAACCCAACACTCTGTACTCTACAAGGGTGCGCTGTTCTGTCACCGGCCGACTCTGGGGAGAGTGGACACCAACCACACTGTTCACAACGTGTGAGTACTAAACCAGGATGTGGTCAAATCTAAATTAAGTAAAGTTTATTCATGATTATACCCGCCACAAAAAAAGTCAATGAACTGAGGACCAAATCATCAACACAGATGTTCATTATTATCAGGGTTGCCAGATAAGCAATGATGAACTATTGAACTCTTACTTTAAAATTATAATATTTTGACCCAAACTGTCACATGTGCTGCGTGAAGGTGTGGTAAGATGAGACACGTGTTGTGTTTGGTGAACATGCGCACAGAATAGAGAAAAGCAGGAGGTAAAAACGTGATTATGTAAATCTGGCCACCCTGATTATTATTATTATTATGTTATTACTATTTTTTTGCTGTATTTTGCTATTTTATAACAAAGTAAAAGCGGTTCTCACATTATAACTCCTGTCCATTAAAACGTCTTAAGAAAACTTTCTGTTTTATGATGGTTGTGGTTTTGAGAGTTCTGGTGTTTAAATCAAAATGTTCCTCAGATCCACTGGTGACTGTAGACCTATGGAGGAGAATACAGCCCCTGTCTGACTCAGATGACCGACGAGTTACTTTATTGTGGAACACAGTAAGCACTTTTAAAAATTATTTTTATTTAACAAGAACATTTGTTTTCTATGCATGCACCATTTCAACCCTCACTAACTCAGCTCATCCTCAGGATGTTGTTAGTGGTGAAGCAACACCAGTAACCATCCAAGGCTACAAACTGGAGTGGTCACAAGGAGGCCAGACCTGGGCAGAACTGAGGGACAGTGGACAGAACCAGGCAGAGGTCCTCATCGGTCCTGGAAGGTGTGACGTCACCGTTCGAGCTGTTCTCCAAAACGCCTCCTCCATCCCTGCCAACATCAGCATCCCACCAAAGGACAACACGGGTGAACGGCCGAGCTGATTGTTTTTAATTTTTTATTTTTATACAACAACACATTTTTTATTGAGTGGGCAAATAAAACGGTTCAGTGTGTTCATGTTTTGGTCACTCAGTGAGTTCTGGATTTTTGCTAAACGGCTGATATCCGTGTCTGTTCAAACATCGAAGTCCTCCCATCAAAGAAACGTTTGAGCAGCATCACAGCTGGGGGGTTTCATCTGTTGTGGGACGAGCAGAGCACCATCACCTGCGGTTATACTGTAGATTGGTGCATTCTGGGAATCCCTGAGCCCTGTACGCTGCGGTGGATCAAGGTACCAGGAGAAAACAATACTTTGGTCCTGCCTGCTAGTAAGTTTGTGTTTTTCTTTATTTTAGGTGGTGTTTGTAATGAAGTAATTATGGTGATGCATCTTTACTCTGCAGAGCTTTTCCAACCAGGTCGCAGGTTTTCATTCAACATTTATGGATGTTCAGAAGATGGACACACTCTGCTGGAGATACTGACTGGATACTCACAGGAGCTCAGTTAGTGTTTGAACTCATTATGCTTTGTAAAGACATATTTTAATTAGGGCAGCACGGTGGCACAACTGGTGGAGCTGCTGCCTCTCAGCGAGCAGGTCCTTGGTTCAAACCCCCGTCCAGGGGCTTTTCTGGGTGGAGTTTGCATGTTTTCTCCGTGCATGCGTGGGTTTTGTGTTTGTAAGGTATTTTGCTAACATACTTTAAGAGTCAAAGGCAAAGTTTATAAAACAGATCTCATACAATCATTAGCGGTTCAAGTATGTGATGGGAGTGATTCTCAGCTACTACCACCAGGTTTTAGGTTAATATCTGTAAAGCTTTATAGCCATTTTGGGGCTAGTTTATTTTAGCTGTGGTGGCCATCTTGAATTGGAGTTGACTCTAAAAGTAAATCTATTGTAGATGTACATCTAATGTGTATTTTATGAGACCGTTATTAAAATCAGTCCACTGGTTCATTAAATAATTTGGTAACACTATAAAGACACACAAACACCACAGACAGGGGAAACCCCTTAGAGCCTTTGATTGCGGTTAAGTTGTTTTACATATTCTATAAACAAAAGGCAAAATGATTTTATATGGGAGAGGAGCAAGTAAAAACATCAATGAAGATTCTTCTCTGATCTCATGAAGTCAGTGAATTAAACCAACAGTAAGAAATGAGCACAACACATAAAGTTTCCGATGGTTTTTAATAATTTTATTTGGCTTCCTCCTTTCATTTTCTCAGAATCTGTTCAGTCACCAAGTCTGATAGAACCGGTTCAAACCACGTCTTCATCCGTGACGCTAGAGTGGTTTTATGAAGAAGATGATGCATCTCAGCCGGCCTTCATCACTGGTTACCTGGTTACAGTGCAGAAAATGGGACCTGATACACAGCCCGGTCCAGCTGAAAGTGAGTCCAGAAAACAGCTTCAAAAGTCTTCATCCTGTTTTGTGATTGTGGACTGGTTTCAGTACCGTCGAGCTCGTTCTCGGTGCGATTTGGACACTGGCAGGGCGGTCCCTTGTCTCCCATCCTGTTTGTGGTGTTCACGGACAGGATCGCAAGGTGCAGTCATGGAGAGGAGGGGTCTGGTTTGGGAACCTCATGGTCTAGTCTCTGCTGTATGCAGATGATGTGGTTCTGTTCACATTTTTTGGCCAAGATGTTCAGCATGAACTGAGGCAGCAGTTCGCAGCCATGTGTGAAGTGGCTGGAATGAGAGTCGGCTCCTCTGAGACTGTGGTTCTTGACTGGAGACAGGTGGAATGTTCCCTCGGGGCATCTTTGTCGCAGATGGAGGACTTAAGTATCTGGGCTTCTTGTTCCCCAGTGATGGTAGGAGGGAGTAAGAGATGGATCAACAAATTGGGGCCTCGTCCTTACTAATGAGGTAGTTGTTTCGGACGGTTGTGGTGAAGAAAGAGTTGAGTTGAAAGGCAAAGTTCTCAATTTACTGATCTGTCTATGCTTCAACCCTCACCTGTGGTTATGAGGTTTGGATCATCAGGTCAGATCATCTTCAGGTCCCTCTTGTAAATGAGTCCCCGAGGCTCAATGCGATTAACCTGTATAAATAAAGGTTGAATGAATCATGACCAAAAACTTGAGATCCTGATACAAGCGGCCAAAATGAGCTTCCTTCGTAGGATGGTCAGGCTCAGCCTTAGAGAGAGGGTGAGGGGCTCCATCATCTAGGGGGAGCCACAAGTAGAGCTACTGCTCCTTCATATCGACAGGAGTCAGGTTGAGGTGGTTTGAACATCGGATTAAGATGCCTCCTGGACGCCCCCCTTGGAGGTTTTCTGAACATGTCTCACTGGGGAGAGGCTAGGGGCAAAACCAGAACGCACTGGAGGGGTTATGTTGGAGATATTGTAAATCTTCTCTAGCTTGCAAACACCTTAGGGTCCTCCAGAAGGAAGTGGAGAGTGTTGCTGGGGAGAGTGATGTCTGGGTTTCTCTTGGACCTGTTCCGTCTGCAACACGACTACAGATAAACTGTAGAAGATGTAGATGAAACTAGACTGTTCTCAGTTATTTTGTGTACATTTATTTGGCTGTCAGAAGAAATCTCACATTCTTGTTACTTTGATTAATAACCAGCTTTAAATGTCACTTTTCAATATAAAAGGTATTGTTATGTTTTCAACTAGATTTGTTCAACGTGTCAGTGACAGACCCCCATCAGAAGTCTGTTACCATCGAGGGTCTGCAGCAGCAACAGGAATACAGGTGCTTTGTGAGCGCTTCGACTAAAGTTGGGCCTGGGCTACCTGCCAGCATCACCATCAGAACCAGGATCAATTGTGAGCTTCATGACATCCAGCACCATCGCAAAAACACAGCAATTTTGATGCTTCAGTGTGTCTGAGAAGCAAAAAGTTAAGAATCATCTCCACTCGAGCTTGACTTGAACCAATGATTGAATAAAGCGCTCCGTTTATTTCCTCCTGCAGACTTGTCTTACTGGGCAAAGATCCTCACTCCTGTCTTGCTCCTGCTCGGCTGCATCGTCCTCCTGTGGCCGCAACGAAAAGCGTGAGTAAAAGGATCTGCATGTTTTCACTGAGCGTTTACTTTGTTCTCTGCGAAACACTCTTGTGTTTCCTGCAGGTTAAAGAACAGTCTGAAGGAGATCTTCATTTATCCGCCTGGTATGAACATTAAAACCCCTGAGATTGACAGCTTCCTGTCTGAGGTACGGATAAACCAACCAGCATGATATGACAGTTCCCTAAACAGCACTTATGATCTTGAAATGTCATTCAAATATTGCATTGCAATATTGTTTGCATTGGTTTTGCTGTATTCCAAAGAAAATGGTCAGCAGTGTTCAGTCTCATGTGCAATATTGCCTTTTGCTATGTTTAACGTTTGGCTAGCCTTTTGTTGCTTTTAGCTACCATTCTTTTTATTAATTTTTTTTATATACAGTTGTGTTAATTCTAGCTTTTAACAACCATTCTGCTATTTTTAGCTTTTAGCCAGGCTTTTTAACAATTATAGCTTCTAAACAGGCTTTTAGTAATTTTAGCTTTAAGTATCCTTTAGACATTTTTAGCTTCTTGATATTTCTTTGCTATTTTAGCTTTGAAGCAGACTTTTGCTACTTCTAGCTAACCATTTGTTACTTTTATTTGTAAGCTGGCTTTTTGATATTTTTAGGCTCCCATTTTATCTTTTACCTAGCATTTAGCTTGCTGTAGCTTTTAGCTAGTGTTTTGCTTCTTCTGGCTTTCCAACTCAGGTTTAGCTACTTTAGTTAGCTTTAGGAAAGTCATTCAGTGCTAAGCATCGAATGACTTAGTCTTAGCAGGGAGTGGTGACACAGAGGTTAGAGAAGGTGGCTGTGATCGGAGGATCACTGGTTCAACTCCCGGTACCAACAACATCAAAATGTGGGTGGGAAAGGTGAAACACCCACACCTGCCTCCACCCTCTTTTGCCCCACTCTGAGCCCTTGAGCAAGGCCCTTAACACCCTATCTGCTCCCCTCGGCACCCTAGATAGCAGCTCTTTGCTCCACACAGAGGGCTGTGGTAGCTCGGTGCTCTGAGCATCATGAAGAGCATCCGGCATAAAAATAATTGCCACGTCTTCGTGTCACTTAGTTCGATGTGGTGACCCCTAAAAGAAGGAAGAAGCCAAAAAAAAAAAAAAAAAGAATAAATAAAATTCCATGCAAACACATTTCTCTTGTGTATATTAGACCAAAGGCAACATTTTAAACAAATGAAGGAATTACAGATTTGTTCTTTTTAAAATCTTGTTGTTAATAGTAACAGATCTGGACATGTGTCAGTTTTTGAAAATGATTATTTTGATGATTTTTTCCCCGTGTTTTCAATATTAAAGCCCTTGCCTCTTTGCACAGACTGATCACAGACTGCAGAATCAGAAAGAGGACGAGTGCGTCAGCTGCGATGTTGAGATCTTGAACATCAAACCTCTGCTCCCTGAAACATCCACACCGAAGGATCCTGAGTTAATCACAAACGCTCTATGTGGCTCCCAGCTCCGTCTTTCTTCACTTCTGTTACAATCAAACTATTGTCCACAGTCAGCCGTACTGCCCTGCGACAGAACAACCCATCAGCATCTGATGAGCGTTACCAACCAGGGCTACTTAAGCTCCGATGTGGAACATCCCTCTGAGGCACACGAAGCCACAGTCGGTGAAATAACATCCAGCTTTGAGCCTTCTGACCATCTGCAGGAGTCATGTGTAGTCCTGTGTGGTTACATCTGACACCTCATTATTGTAGAAAAGCGCACATACCTTGGGTTTAACTTCTCCATTGATTAAAATGCTGCAAAAAGCATATATGAGCACTCTTTCAGACACAAAACACCAATTTTCATTCTTTATTTTGGCCAAATTCTCAAACACTCCACTCAGAAGAGTGCGTGTTACTCCGATACGTGTTACAAAACGTGAAAGTGTGTGCATCACAAGAGGAACTCGCGCTGAAGAATACGATAAGAAACTAGACATTTTATCTACAGGATGTAGCTGGAACTAGTGAGCAGGTGTGACAGATGCACAAGAGGGATCATTTTAAACAAGAACTGAAAAGCTCAACAGAATTATCGAGCATTTAGAAACAAAAGTGTAATAGGTTCATGATAAACCAGGAGTATAAACCACTGCAACATAGAACATTTAGGATTGCAGTAGTTGTATAAAAACTTGCAGGACATAATGTTTCTTGATCTTTCTGGATTTAACATTTTATTTTAAAAAGTCAATAGTTTTGTTGCATTTAAAAGAACACCAGTGACATCATTTCCCTTTGGCCATTTCTCTGATAACTGAAACAGTAAATAAGTGACATTAAAAAATTAAAAACACACTGAAACTCCAGCTACATTTCGCAACAAGTCCCTCTCTCGAAACGTCAGTGTTGATCTTTTGCACTCCCTAGAGCTGATGCGTATCTTTTTGCTTCTGGAAGGGAAATTATTTTTAAACAAGCTAATCACCGAGCACATCCTGTGTACAGCAGCTAACAACAAACATCCTCTACCAAATGCTTCTACAGCTGATGAAGGTATCATCTACTCTGTTGGTGCTTTCAAACCTAGCTGCACTTCTACAGTACGCACTTTTAACAAATGGATAAAAAGTTTAAATAAATAAAAAAATAACATTTGCATAAGCACAATTTGAATTTGGACTTTTATGACGTCAGCTCTACTCTTGCTTGAAACGATTGAAAAATTTCCACCAAACCATTTTGAGGTAAGGTTGCTATGTAATATACTTTTTTTTTTAACAAGTTGCAGAACTGGTTCTGAAAACAAAGAAGTTTTAGAGTTTTGCAGGGAGGAGAGAGTAGGACTGAACAAGCTATGCAAATAACGATGAGCATGGTGCCTGGGAGGCTGCAGGACTTTGAAGCTCTCTGATGAATCTCGCATGTGACAGAAGCGGGGATCTCTTTTCTCTCGTGCAGAAATTAATTTATGACGACACAAACTGCTTCTATGATACTAATCAGATCGTTTCTCACCCACAACTCCAGTTCCAAAATAGTTGGGACACTGTGTAAAATGTAAATATAAACAGAGGGTAATGATTTGCAAAGCTCATAAATGTATAATTTATTTAAACTGGAAGTAGCTCAACATGTGCACTCTTCTAAGCCATGCTGCTGTAATGGATGCAATGTGTGATTTTAGCATTGTTTTGCTGAAATAAGCAAGACCTTCCCTGAAAAAGACACCATCTGGATGCGAGTCCAAGTTGTTCTAAAACCTGCATATAGGATGACACCTTTCCAGATGTGAAAGCACCCTATGCCAGAAGCATCAGGTCTCTCTTGTAAATGAGTCCCCGAGGCTCAATGGGATTAACCTGTCTAAATAAAGGTTGAATGAATTCCTCTACCAGCCGACAAGCTGGATGTTTCCTTTCCGCCTTTGAGAATGTGTCTGTCGTTTTAAAAACAAAATCTAATTTTGATTAATCTGACCGCGGAACGTTTGTCCACTTGGTCTCAGTCTAAAATGAGCTCTGACCCAAAGAGGAATGGTGTTCACATATACTGGGAGACTGCGACGATGTGAAGATTCAACACGTCTGCTGGCTTCCTTCCTGAGATAGAGAACTTTTACTAATTGGCTTTTGTATATGAATGTTTCTGTTCAGTGCCCTGAGATGAGTTCTGTTGTGATTTGGCGCTATATAAATAAACTGAATTGAATATGGCTTATTCTTTGCATGATAGAGCTTTAACCAGCCTTTGTGGATGTCACAGTGAATTGAGTTTACAGGCAGTGATTTGTAGAAGTGCTTCTGAGCCTGATGTCCAGAACAGGATCGGACCAGTTTTTAATTAGTGCTGCCTGAGGCTCTGAGGATAACAAACATCTAAATATTGACTTGGAGCCTTGTCGTTTAAGCAAATAAATGTCTCTACTATCTTGACTGTTTTGGTGGTACAGTACTGTAGATAATCAACTATTCAGAGTCTTGCTAATAATCTGTTGAATATTCTCAAATTCTTCCAGTGTTTCAAAACCCAGTTTTGGCGAGTGAACCTCTGCCCATCTTTACTTCGGAGACTTTCATTTTCTCTAAAATGCTCCTGTTTATCTCTTGTCCTCTTCCTGACCTGTTGCCAAATAACCCAGTTAGTTGCAACAGTTCCTCCAGCTGTTTCTTATTCACATCAACTTTTATTGTCGTTTGTTAACTTCTTTGAGATGTGTTGCTGCTGTAAGAGATGTAAAATTACAATTTTTTTCAAAGGTACATTTTAGTTTTAACATTTGTTTTCTATGTTGCACTGTGAATATAGATTCAAGAGATTTGCAAACCATTGTTTTGTTTTTTTTCTCAGAACTGGGGTTGAATTATATTTTATAGCTGTGTGCCTCCTGAAGTACTTCACATTTGTCTATAACCTCATGTATTAAAAATTATATCTTGATTCAGATACTTATTTTCCTAGTATTCAGTAAAATAGTTACCATAATACGGAATAAGTCTCCAAAATAAAGCATGAAACTAAACATGGTCTACAGCTGCACATTCTCAGTTGTTTTAGCTGAAATGCATCATTTCACAGCTCATCCTTTATTCAGTTGTGTCCTTGAAATACAAAAGTTTTACACAGCATGGTTTTGATGAAGCTGACCGTGGATATAAAGTTTTTATGGTCTTATTTGATCAAGTTTGACGTTTGCATTGAAGTCTGCAGCCAAAAAGAGTTTTGTAAGGTTACAGTGACATTAATTCTTGACAGTTAACTTGTGGACAAAACAAAGCACAAGTTACAATTTATTGAACAGTTTTAAAGTCACATGGTTAAAACAACACCCTGGGAAAAGTGAATACATTTAGAAGATTTCACATAAAATCCTAATATTCTAAGTAGTTCAGTTCCTGACACTTTTTACTCAAACTAACTTAGAAAGAACCATTATCTCTCAAGACTAGAAACTCAGGGTGACAGAACTTTTGCGATCGTCTCTGTATGGGGTGTCATTTGTAAAGTTACACAGTCAAAAATTAACAGAAATATTTTGGTTTAATAAGCCTTTCATAAGAAAAAAAAAACAAACTATTTTTTCAGTCATATTTTCACTTGGTCATTCATCCATTTATAAATGTCATAGTTCCAAACGAAATATGTAATTTACAAGCTAAATATTTAGTTTACAAACTAAATATTTAACTTGCAAGTTAAATATTTGATTTCTAAGCTAAATGTTTATTTTAAAAACTAAACATTTAATTTCCAAACTAAATATTTATTCTCCAAGATAAATATTTAATTTCCAAACTAAACATTTAGTTTCTAAGCTAAACATTTAATTCCTAAACTAAATATTTAATTTGCAAAATAAATATTTAATTTGCAAGTTAAATATTTAGTTTGTAAATTAATCATTTATCTTGGACATAAACATTTAGTTTGTAAAATAAATATTTAGCTTGTAAATTTCAATATTTAGCTTGGAACTGTGACATTTATAACTGTATGAATGACAAGGTGAAAATATGACTTTGAAAAAAAACTTTTTTTCTTATGAAAGGCTAATAAATAAACCAAAATATTGATGTTAATTTTTTTACTGTGTAACTTTACAAACTGCACCCCATATCTCTGACGCTATGATCTGCGGACTCAATGGATTTATTAACAAACAGCTGAAGACTCATCTTTACACTATGGACAGCATTCAATTTTATCTCCTCCTTTGTTACTTTATTGTGCCAAGTTCCATTTTAATAGTGAGTTTTAGCATCACTTATTAACGAGAGGAGTTCACACTCCCCAGCTGCTAACAGGAAGTTCGATGTTCAGAAGCCGATGGATCACCACGTGCCATCTTTTAAGGAACAATAGTTTTTGATGAAATGATTAGGGCTGTTTGCTACTTATCGTTTCTCATGTCGATACATTTCCATCACTCTCTGTTCAATAGTAGTTTTGAATAAAAACAAAAAGAGAGACGAGGTAACACACTGGGCATAAAAGCAGCATTTACCCCCAAATTCAGGACTAGTCAGTAACATTTTTAAGAATTTTCAAAATAAAAAACTGAAATGCTCTTAAATGTGCCTTAAAAATCTCATTTTTCTGACCCAGTATTACACATCATATGAAAACATTTCATCTCCAAGCTTAATTTTGGGGGCCTTTCAGACTTAAGAGCTAATTCAAATGATCAAAACAATGTAAACGATACCTCATTTAGGGCGTTCAACACTTTTCAAACTGTGCAAAACAATACAAAAACACGCATGCACAGAACAAATGGTGCAAAATACTAAAATACTGACATATGCAAAAATATAATCTCTCTATACGACAGCTTATTGAGCCAGTAGTGTAAAATGAACAGGTGAAAAAAAAAGCAGTGCGACCTGCTGAAAACAGTTTCACATCACGAGACTTGGAGTCGACAGAAGCCACCAGCAGGATGCATTTCTTGGATTTTCTTCAAAGTGAAAAGTCCACTTTTAGGTTTTCATCCACATTTTTAAGATGCTTTAGAGAAGATCATTTCAGCCTCTTCACACGGGAGTCTTCTGCTTTACTCTTGCTCTCAGCTTGCTTTTCTTTCTGAATTGAAACCAGAATTTGGCGTTTGTGGTGCAAAGTTCACACGTGTCCAAAGATAGGTGCACAAACAGCAGCTTGAAAGATCAACACGTTTAACAAAAGTAGGCTGAAGCTCCATAAAACAAGTTAAAACTTGTATTGTGTGCGGGTTTTTTTACCGTCGTGGCGGTGACATCATGCATTTCCAGAGAACCGCGTAGAGACCGAGCAGAAAGGCAATAAACACCGTGGCTGCAACTGCACCTAGAAACACAAACAAATGTGCACATTTTACACAGAAAAGAACAAAAAAAACATTATACACACACACACACACACACACACACACACACACACACACACACACA